CAAGACAACAAAATTAAGAACAAATAACTTACAGAGAGCAAGAACAGAGGAGCAACATGATGTACGACTTCAGGCTCAAAGAACAAGACAAGCTCAAGCACGATCTAATTTTAAATAAAGCTTTGTTTGATTAAATACTTTTTTTAATTTTTCGCAACACAGCTTTTGTCTACTTACATTTCAAATCTAAATTTTCACCGTGCAACGCCGGGTAACTGAGCTAGTCAATAACAAAATAACAACGATTACTAATGAATAATAACTAAAATATCTTATTCTAAAATTAATTGCATAATTTTATTACGAGCCTCGGTAGCGCAGTAGGCAGCGCGTCAGTCTCATAATCTGAAGGCCGTGAGTTCGAACCTCACCCGGGGCAGTTTAAAATGTTTCATTTTATACAAGTTTTCATTATAACTTATTATTTATGTCTTAAATTAATTAAAACTTATAAGGTATAATCTCTCAGACTAAGTGTCTGGAAGGTATCCAAACAATTTGTTTCTTCTTGTTTCTATATTTTGGTCAAGTTTATGTTGGTTTTGTTTAGTGAGGTCCCCCAATGGGACACCGGTACATCTACGAATTTACAACGCTAAAATCAGAGGTTCGATTCCTCTCGGTGATACATCAGATAGCCTGATGTGGCTTTGTTATAAAAACATACACACAATCATTAGCGAGTTTGTTGATCATAACCATTATCTGACAGAACTTAACAGAATCGGTTTGGTGTTCGATACCTAATTTACTTTTTCTCAGTATTTTTCACAAGTTTCTCTTGGCTTCTAGGAGGTTTCTACCACTTTTGTTTCCAGCCAGTCGTGTTATCATTACTCGTTAAGACTCACATGTTTGGCTATAGGAATCTGCTACTTTGAAACTGATAGTTATGGCTGATTGATTGCATTGACGACATCATATGAATTATTATTAAGAAAGTAGTTTTGATGACACCTGTCTTCATTTTACTCTTATCTTTTAGTTTGAAGGCATAACAATAGTAATAAATCGGCGTTAAAAATAAAATAAATAATATTGTGTTGTAACTTCTTGCCCTAAAATCTAATTTGTAAATAAAGTAAATAAAATTGAAAGTAATTACAATTTACTCATTTAATCTAGTTCACACAATGACAGTCGTTGTTCATGAAATTTGATGATATACACGATGCTTAGATTACAATCTGTCATATCATGGACGGCCTGATGAGCTCTAGTATCTGACAAAAAGTCTCGCCGGCTTTGGATGTGGCAAACGTAGTTTGGTTGACATTATATATCGTATTCATCTTTATTTTCGCTCATAAGTTCTTAGAATATGTAAACTGACCACCGGAAAATATATTCTGTCTCAATAGATCTGATAGTTTATTTACTACTAAAAACTATGACAGGCTTATGTGCCAACCAGGGACTGGCTATCCATGACAATATCTTGACGTAAGAATTTTTCGTGGTATTTAAATGTCTACTACGTTGTATAAAAAATAAAAGGCACAGGCATGACATTGTTTGTATGGTCAATAAAAAATCAACACCTAAATAAATAAGTAGTCTGGATATGTAAAAAGAATTCCGAACAGCACAAACACAAACAAAATAATCAGATTGACTATCCCACAAATTATCTCCTCACCCAGTGGCTCAACGGCAAGTCTCCATGCTTATTATGCTAAAAATCGGATTTCGATACCCGTGGTGAGCACGGATAGTCCGCTTAACAACAACAATAATAAAAAAATGCAAATTAATTGTTCATAAATTTCCTTTGATTTATCATTTTCCACCCAGGAGATTTAAAAACACTTTGAATTATCAGTAAAAAATAAAAGGTCCAACCCTTCTGGCTTACACTATTTAAAGAAAAATCAAAACGGCTTATATGCAAGATTTTGCATCTCTCAATACATAACAAATTAAAGTTTACTCTACTGGTCTGAGGAAGTTCAATATTTATTATAAATTGAGAGACAAACTCATTAACCAACTAAGCTGTCTTGTCAATTTTTAGTCGCACGATTTCAAATATTTAATGCCTCTGGCTGTCTATTATGATAACCCATTAGAAACAAGAGGGTTTTTCCCCTTGAATCTGAAACATTCAACACTATTAACAAACGTCTTTTCAGCTGGGGTCGACGCTGCTGCAGGTGTCAATACTTTTGGGTTTCAAACCCAGCGAAGGTCGCGATATAGTAGCAATCCAAGAACGTGGCGCCCTCTAGGATTTTATCTAAACATTAATACCAAAAATTCCGACATTTTTATTTTTGTCGAGAAAAGGAAATATCCCAAGTATAAAAATTTAGCTCTGCTTTTATTTAAGGCTATTCGGATTTTCTCTCAAAGATGCAATAAGGGCCATCAGCGCCAGTGTCTTTAATTTTGAACTTTTGTAACTTAGTTAGTGAAATACCTCTTAAAATGTGGCATACCCTTCTGAATTCGAAGGCGAGAAAATACACTAAAATACCTTATTTACCATATTGTTAGTTAAAATAAATGAAAATATTTAAATGATTATCATTAGGTGAGTTCGTGCTTAATTTGCAGTTTTATCTTTTTTTATTTCCCTGTGCAATTCTGACTGTGCTATAATCTGTTCAATCTCGGTGTTGACATGCTCCACTTAACCACGAGATTAAAGGAATGTACTCAACAACATTTAAGCACTTTCTAGAAAGTTGTATGTTTGAATTAGCTGTACAGGTTAAATTAGTTCATCACTGAAATCTGGTGATATTTTTCTTATATTCAATGATGGCTTCAGAATTTTGAAAGTGAGGAGGCGAAGGGGTGGCAGTCAGATGAGCTCGAGAGCGGGGCTTTTTAAGTGGAAGGAAACTTATAGAAGATGATGAGAAGCTCTAAGAAAGAATGAATATTTTTGCTGCGGAATGTTTTCATTAATATTAAAAACACGCTTGTCTGTTGAACAAGGTTCTTTATTGACTCGGTGCATTTTTTTCCATTAAAATATCACACTTACCTTGCAAGTTAGTCATTTGATCAATTACATCAACATAGAATTCTTAAACTCGGTGAACACTTTTCAATTAGTTGGTTAGGGCGCTCGACTCGCAATCTGATGGTTGTGGGTTCGAATCCCCATCACATCGAACATGCTCGTCATTTTTAAGCCGTGGGGGCGTTATACCGTGACGGTCAACCCCACTATTTGTTTGTAAAGGAGTAAGCAAGAGTTGGCGGTAGGTGGTGTTGACTAGCTGCCTTCTATCACTGCTAAACGAAGGACGGCTAGCCCACATAGCCTTCGTATAACTTTGCTATAAATATAAAATTAACCACACCAATTTTGTTTAATATTATAAGTCACAACTCTAGAAACCGGGTTTCGATACCCGTGGTGGGCAGAACACAGATAGCCCTATGTGTAGCTTTGTGCTTAACTACAAACAAACAAACCAAATTTTCCTTCCAAAGCCATCATCAGGTGCTGCTTGAAGCGTGATTATATTAGTCATACATAAAGATGAGAGTTCTTTAGAGGTTGTCACAGCCCACAGCTCCAATTTAATTTTTTTGATGGACTCTGGTGCTCTGAAATGTTTTTAATTGTTACTGTAATTGACTGTAAAGACTATAGAATTAATTGTATAGGGTTGCCTAGCATTCTGGGAGATGAAGCGTTTACTAAATTTTTTAGTGTAAAGGTTAGGAGAGGCAGACAAGTTTTAGGGATTGTGTCCCCCACATCTCACTTCCTCTGTTCAAAAACCATAAAACATAATTACACAGACATCCAAATGACATAACTGACTTGCCTACTACTTGAAAGTTACATGTTAATTTCGTTTAATATCATTCAAAATTTGACTACTCAGAGAAAACTTTAAATAATTTAATGGTGAAATTCAAAATTTAAGGCTTAGGTCCAAATGAAAGTCAACAATTAAAAGAAAACAGAATGTTTTTATACAAAATTTATTGTCCTGGCACAGTACATTAAGATATCAAACATGTGGTACCTAAGTTATGATACACTAAACAGAGAGACAAATCAAACAAGCTTAACCATTCTTTATTGCTGACATACATTAAACTCGATTTCTACTTCCTCTTTTTTTTTCTCATTTGCAGCGTTTATTTGTATTGTTCATTCACGTGGTCACACTAAACATGCTCGCCCTTTCAGCCGTGGGGGCGTTATGATGTGACGGTCAATCCTACCATTCGTTGGTAAAAGAGTAGCCCTAGAGTTGGCGGTGGGTGATGATGACTAGCTGCCTTCCCTCTAGTCTCACACTGCTAAATTAGGGACGGCTGGCGCAGATAGCCCTCGTGTAGCTTTGCGCGAGATTCAAAAACAAACAAACAAACAATCATTCACGTGTTTGTAGGATTGCTTTACCCAGTTGAGAAAATATATCATTCTTATATCTTTCATTAAGTTAGCACTAATGTCCACTCCGATACAGTATAATTTCATCTGCAATATAGTGTAATGCCATCTCCGAAATAGTGTAATGTCATTTCCAATACAGTAAATGTCATCTCCGATATAATATAATGTACTCTCTGATATAGTGTAATGTCATCTCTGATACATGATAATGTCATCTCTGATAGTTTAATGTTTTATCTGATACAGTATAATATCATCTCCGATACAATATAATTCCATCTCCAATATAGTGTAATATTATCTCCGATGAAATAAACATAATTTCTGATATAATATAACGTACTCTCCGATACAGTATAATGTCATCTCCGATATAGTATAATGTCATTTCTGATACAGTAAACATCTCCGATATAATATAATATCATCTCTGATGCAGTACAATGTTATTTCTGATAGTTTAATGTCATCTCTGATATAATATAATGTCATCTCTGATATAGTGTAATGCCATCTCCAATATAGTATAAAGTCATCTCTGATACAGTATAATGTCATCTCTGATACAGTATAATGTCATCTCTGATACAGTATAATGTTATTTCCGATACAGTAAACATTATCTCCGATATAATATAATGTGATCTCTGATAATTTAATGTATTCTCTGATATAGTATAATGGCATGTCCGAAACAGTATAATGCCATCTCCGATATAATGTAAAGTCATCTGCGATATAGTATAATGTCATCTCAGATATAGTAATGTCATCTCCGCTATAGTGTAATGTAATCTCCGATATAGTGTAATGTCACCTCCGATATAGTGTAATGCCATCTCCAATATAGTATAAAGTCATCTCTGACACAGTATAGTGCCATCTCCGAAATAGTGTAATGTCATTTCCGATGCAGTAAACATTATCTCCGATATAATATAATGCCATCTTTGATAATTTAATGTATTCTCTGATATAGTATAATGTCATGTCCAATATAGTATAAAGTC